TTTCACCGATTAAATGTCGTTCCTAGCATTTTTCACAACATGCTCTAAGCTCCATTCTTCCTAGAACATAGCTAATTTAACAACATTTCATCAAAAACCCTAAAACACTATTCATAAACCCTAACTCATGCAATTTTCCATGAAAATAAGGTTCAAGGGGTAGAATCTTACCACCAATGGTTGCACAACCAAGCAAGGAGCGCTCCTCAAGCTCCCATGGAGGTAGAAATTCCCAAAACCCCAAAATCTCACAAAGGGCCGAATTTTTGAGAGGCAATATCTCTCTCCACAATGCTCCCCACTTAAAACTAAGCTAGGATTATGAAAGAGGGGAAGATTTAGAGTGATTTAGGCTTTTGAATCATCCAAAACGGTTGGGATTTGCTCCCTCCTCTCTCTTTTCTTCTCTCTCCCTTTCTTCTTCTTTTTCTTCTTCTTCTTCTTCTCTATTTTCTGGCGTCGACGGGTTTGGGGAGGGAATTGGGTTCCTTTAGTTACTTTATCACTTAACATAGGTTAAGTGGTAACATGTGGGTATTAGTTCGCCTATCTATTCAACTCCATTAATTATCAAACTTTACCTGGAATTTTATTCTAGGAATATTTATAATTTTATTTTTATATTTTGGGCACTTTCGCCAGTATCCATTTATATCCCTTAATTTTCACTGAGTACACTTTTTAACTCCAAAGTGATTCAGATTCATTTCATTAAGCCTTATACTTAATTTTACTCACTAAAACTATTGAAAAGAAGTTTTTGTATATTGATATTGAATAAATTACATGAGTGAGTATTTATACAAGAAAGAATCGCTAAGAATGACTAAGCGATGACTAATCAATCCTATCACAATCCTAATCACAATCAATTCTAATCAATCACAATTAATCCTAATCAATCATAATCAATCCTAATTAATAGGAAATAAAAACGGAAACATATTTGAATTCTAATTTTCTACACTCCCCCTCAAGTTGGGAGGTAAATATTGATCATTCCCAACTTGCCAATCAAGTCTTCGAATGCTGGACGGTGTAGGCCCTTGGTAAGGACATCTGCCGTTTGCTCTTTGGTTGGAACATATATCAAATGCACACTTCCATCATCTAATTTTTCTTTGATGAAGTGACGATCAACTTCCACGTGCTTTGTTCGATCATGATGCACAGGATTTTGAGCAATGCTAACAGCTGCCTTGTTGTCACAATATAGTTTTATTGGTAGGGAATATGAAATCTTCAACTCTTGAAGAAGTCTTCTCAACCAGATTCCTTCACAAACTCCATGAGCTAAAGCTCGAAATTCTGCTTCAGCACTACTTCTTGCAACCACTGTTTGCTTTTTGCTTCTCCAAGTAACAAGATTTCCCCACACATAGGTGCAATAGCCTGAGGTAGATCTTCTGTCTACTGATGAGCCTGCCCAATCTGCATCAGTGTAGATTTCAATTGTCCTTTTATACCCCTTTTTAAAGAATAATCCTCTTCCTGGAGTATTCTTGAGGTATCTAAGCACCCTATAGACTGCACTAAGATGCTTCTCCTTGGGTGAGTGCATGAATTGACTAATCATACTCACCGCAAAGGCAATGTCAGGACGCGTATGAGATAAGTAGATTAGTTTACCAACCAATCGTTGATATTGTTCTTTATCCACCTCATTCCCATCTTCAATACCTAACTTGGTATTAGGTTCCACAGGTGTCTCAGCAGGTTTACACCCTAACATTCCTGTTTCCAACAAAAGATCTAGAACATATTTCTTTTGTGTTAGAGTGATGTCTGTTTTGCTCCTAGCAACTTCCATACCAAGGAAATATTTGAGAGTGCCAAGGTCTTTGAGTTCAAATTGAGCTGCTAGAAATTTCTTCAAGGTGTTCAATTCCTCAATATCATCACCTGTAAGAATTATATCATCTACATATACAATAAGAATATCAATTTTACCATCCTTAGAGTGTTTGTGGAAGAGAGTATGATCAGTCTGTGCTTGAATGAAGCCTCTTCTTTTGACTGCTTGTGTGAATTTGTCGAACCATTCTCTGGGAGACTGTTTCAATCCATATAGAGACTTTTTTAGTTTACACACTGATCCATTTCCCTTTTCAAAACCAGGTGGAGGATCCATATAGACTTCTTCATGTAAGTCACCATTTAGGAATGCATTCTTCACATCTAACTGTTGCAGAGGCCAATCTAGATTGGCAGCAAGAGATAAGAGAACTCGGATGGTATTGACTTTAGCAACCGGAGCAAAAGTCTCATGATAATCTATCCCATGAGTCTGAGTGAAACCCTTTGCAACCAATCTTGCCTTGTATCTGTTGATGCTATTATCTGCATTGAATTTTATTGTAAACACCCATTTGCATCCTACTGCCTTTTTTCCTTTGGGTAGGGTCACTATCTCCCAAGTTCCATTTCTTTCTAAAGCATTCATTTCTTCAAAGACAGCATCCCTCCATTTTTTATCATTGAGAGCCTCATGTATATTTCTCGGTATCTTTGTACTATCCAACATAGTATTGAAAGCACGAAACCCTGGGGACAACTTTCCATATGAAATATGATTAGAAATAGGATGAGTAGTACAAGATCGAGTACCTTTTCTGAGAGCAATGGGCAAGTGTAGATCATTTTCACCATGACACTCAAGTATTGGGGTGCTGGAACTAGAACATGGTTCAGAATCCTGGCAGTGTAGAGGCTCTAGGTTATTCACACTTTGAGGAGGCTTTCGCCTGCTATAAACTTGTCCCCATTTTGAGAAGGCTCCTGATGATGAGGATTCTGTAGCTCCCCCTGTTTCCAAAAGTAGAGGTAATACTGTGGCATTAATAGGTTCCCATGACTGATCTTCATCTACTCCTATAGACTCCCCCTGAAGAGAAGTCGAGGGGAAGAAAGGGTCATTCTCAGAAAAAGTGACATCCATAGAGACAAAGACCTTACGAAGAGAGGGTGAATAACACTTATAGCCACGTTGAGTAGGAGAATAACCAATAAAGACACACTTGAGAGACTTAGGATCAAGCTTAGACCGTTGATGGGAGGGAATATGGACAAATACAACACAACCAAATAACTTGAGAGGTAAGGAGGAGACACCTCGGAAGGAAGGGAAGATACGAACAAGACTAGAAAGAGGAGACTGAAATTTCAGAATGCGAGATGGCATTCGATTTATCAGATACGAGGCAGTGAGAACGCCTCTCCCCAAAGATATTTAGGAACACTCGTGGTAAACATAAGAGCCCGAGCAACTTCAAGGAGATGTCGGTTTTTTCTTTCCGCAACTCCGTTTTGTTGGGGTGTGTCAGGACACGAGCTTTGGTGAAGGATGCCATGTTGGGAAAGATATTCTCCAAGAATAGAGTTAAAATACTCTTTGCCATTATCTGTACGAAGAATTTGTATAGCAACTTGGAATTGGGTTTGAACCATGGCATGAAATTTTTTAAACACGGATGCAGCATCGGACTTATCCTTTAGAAGATACACCCAGCAAACTCGAGAATGGTCATCAATGAAGGTAATGAACCATCGAGTACCTGAAATATTTTTAACACGGGCTGGACCCCATATGTCGCTATAAATTAAGGAAAATGGGGAAGAGTCATGGTGAACTTTAGAAGGATAATGAGCACGAGTATGCTTGGCAAGTTGACAAATATCACAAGAAAACAAACTTGGACTTTTATTAATAAATAAGTTTGGCAACAACTTCTGAAGATAAATAAAATTTGGATGGCCTAGCCTACGATGCCACAGCATAACATCATTACATGAATCAAAAGGAAACATAGAGTTTTTTTCTACGAAAACAGCTTCATGAGTCACATCCTCCTCAAAGTAGTAAAGTCCACCATCCTCTCTAGCACTGCCAATCATCCTCTCTGAGTCCTGTTCCTGAAAAACACAACCATGTGGAAAGAATTTAGCAAAGCAATGCAACTCAGAGGTGAGCTTGCTAATGGAAATGAGATTACAAGTCAGAGAAGGAACATAAAGAACTGATGTCAAAGTAATCAGCTCAGAAAGTTTAATGGTTCCGTGTCCCGCAATCTGGGAAAAACTGCCATCGGCGATCTTGACCCGAGAAGGTTCAGAATATGGAGTGTATGAACAAAACAAGCCAAGATTACCTGTCATATGATCAGAGGCTCCAGAATCAAGGATCCAATGATTTTGACTATCAACATGGAAAGTTGTACCTTGCTGGACCACATGACTAGTGGCCTTAGGAGGTTGCTCGTGGTAATAAAAAGAGTGTTTTGAGGAAGCCATGAATAAAAAGAGAAGGGTTGACCGTTGATGAAAAATCAGGTTTTGTAAACTTTTGATCTGACCTCTGGAACAGGAAGGGGAGAAGCCGGCGAGAAGGTCTGTGCAAGTCGCGACGGAAAAAAAACGTCTGGAAGGCGGCGCGTGGTGGCGCGTGCAGCGGCTGACGGCGACGGGTCCAGCGGCGGTCGACTCGTCGGATCCTTCTGAGTCGAATGGTCACCTCACTTTTTTGATCGGAGGTCAGTAAACTAGGTTTCTGTGTTGGACAGATTCAAGGCGGTGTTTAGGAGGTGTTTGACGGTGATGGAAGTGTTTGGATGGTTATTTCAGATTTGAATTAGGGTCGGAACGAACCCGCTCTGATACCATATTGAAAAGAAGTTTTTGTATATTGATATTGAATAAATTACATGAGTGAGTATTTATACAAGAAAGAATCGCTAAGAATGACTAAGCGATGACTAATCAATCCTATCACAATCAATTCTAATCAATCACAATTAATCCTAATCAATCATAATCAATCCTAATTAATAGGAAATAAAAACGGAAACATGTTTGAATTCTAATTTTCTACAAAAACATGCTTAATTATTTAATTACATGTAATTTACTAATTAATTAGGTTAGGTATATTATATAAGCAGCAGAAAAACAATCTGTGTAATCCAAGTTTGCTTCTGTTCTGTTTTAGATTTGGGTTGGGGCAGAAGAAGGTAAAAGAAATGGTGAAGAGTGAGCGTGCTCTACATTTCAATTCTTTTTTATTTACACAACACTTACTACTTTGCAGAAAGAGATGCAAATGCAACAAATGAACACAATGAGGAAGATTCAGAATTACCCTTGTTTGATATGTCTACAATTACTTCTGCAACCAATAACTTTTCAACTGGCAATTTTCTTGGGGAAGGTGGTTTTGGATCGGTTTATAAGGTAATGAAATGATAAAATATTGCTCTTAGCCTAGAATGCATAATATTAATAAATTTTATTTTGTGCAGTGTGCTATAAATCTTATCTCCATATGGTGCAAAAATGGTTAGAAATGGTAATTAAATAGCTTGAGCACCAAGAAAACTTACTTAGTTGTTTCTTGTTAGAAATATATAAAACCATTAATGTAACCTCACCCAACAGCTTAAGTTTTTGGGTTGAAATAGTTCTTTATATGGTATCAGACTCTCAGTGTTGCGGGTTCGATCCTCACCGCCCCGATTTAATTAATAATTAATTAAGTCTTGTGGAGTTTCTTAGCACAAGTAGGTGACCTATACATTGTCCACCCTTCAAGCCCAGTGAACTCTCTTATAAGGGGGAGTTAGAGATATATAAAACCACTAATGTAACCTCACCCAACCGCTTAAGCTTTTGGGTTAAATTGTTTCTTTGCATTTTCATATAACCGTTTTAGACCTATAACTTCATCTATATTCATAGTTATAAAGATGCATGATGGCCTAAACCTGATTTTTTGTCCCATCTTATCAGCTAAACATGCCCTTAACTTGAAATAGTAGGAACACTATTATGCTAACAAAAGTAAGAATCCCTTTTGTAGGAATTTAAATTGACTTGGGACATGAAAATAGGCTACTATTTACAAATTGATCTGTCTTTTCTTGTAAACAATCAACTGCTAATCAGATTCTAATTCATCTTATGTCACATTGTTGAGCTTCAAGAATAAATTTCAAGAATTGTGCATTAAAAAAAAATCACTCCCCGTTACACCCGACTAGCGAGTGTGGGGAAGAGGAAATTCTTGTACGCAGCCTTACCCTTGCATAATTGCAAAGAATTGTGCATTCTTGCAACAAAATTATTCTATTACTGAATGATGAAATTTAAGTAAATTTACCTCAAACAGATTTAATTAAAAATGAAGCTTTTTCAATGTACAATTTGTTACAAATTTAGGGTATCCTGGACGATGGAAGAGAAATAGCTGTCAAGAGGCTCTCAAAGAAATCAAGCCAAGGAATCCAAGAATTCAAAAATGAAGTTTTGCATATTGCCAAACTTCAGCACAGGAATTTAGTGAGGCTACTAGGGTTCTGCATTCAAGCAGATGAAAGATTGCTGGTTTATGAATTTATGCCCAACAAAAGCTTGGACTTCTTCATATTCGGTTTGATTCCAAAAAATCCTTATTCATTGTTTAACTCACTTGGAATTACATTTTCATTTGGTGAATGGAATATTTTTTGTTCAAAAGAACTGCAATTAAACAGATATATCAAAGAATCATACTAGAATGTAAATGGAATTTGCTATATCAAGTCATTCATGACTTGGGGAAGGGAAATAAACTTTTTAGCACTAAATTTTGTTGTTCTGTTACCTAAGGAAATTATTTAAACAAAATCTCAACTAGGTAAAATTAATATGGTTAGTCCTGGAATCATACTTTCTTTATCATGGTTTAGAATCATTTTAAAAAGAGAGTCTAACTTGGTCACCTTTTGAACAGATAAAAAGAAGGGCATGTTACTAGATTGGCCAAGGCGCTTGCACATTATCAATGGGATAGCTCGGGGTCTTCTTTATCTTCATCAAGATTCAAGGCACAGAATAGTTCATAGAGATCTCAAAGCCGCGAATGTTTTGCTAGATAGTGAAATGAACCCAAAAATCTCAGACTTTGGATTGGCTAGAAGCTTTGGAGGGAATGAAGTTGTAGGAAACACACAGCATGTGGTTGGAACCTAGTAAGTGCCAAATGACACCTATATGGTATGAACATAATGGTTAGCTTGTTTTAATTTTTTATTTTTATTTTTATTTTTGGTGTATATGATGTGCAGTGGCTACCTGCCTCCAGAGTATATAATTGATGGAGCTTACTCAACAAAATCCGATGTGTTCAGCTTTGGTGTGTTGATATTGGAGATAGTGAGTGGGAAGAGAAATAAAGGGTTCTGTCATCAAGATAACCTTTTGTCTAATGTAAGCATGAACTTGAAAATTAATCACATTTGGTATGCTTGTGATGTTAACCAAATGGTTTGAAAAATATGCAGGCATGGAGACTATTTACTGAAGGCCAAAGCTCTGAAATAATTGATGCGACAATAAAAGACTCATTCAATTTACCTGCAGTGCTAAGATCAATTAATGTGGGACTACTATGTGTGCAAATAAGTCCAGATGATAGGCCAAGCATGTCATCTGTGGTTATGATGTTGAGTAGTGAATCCACACTGCCTCAGCCTAAAATGCCTGGATTCTTTAGAGATAAAGACCATGTTGGGGACAATTCTTCATCAAGCAGTAATAAACTTTGCTCAAATGATATCACAGTCAGCTTAATGTATGCTCGATAGGTTGCTTTTAATACTTAATTTTGCTAAAGTTTAATATAGGAGGGTCACGGATTCGAGTTTAGGAAATAATTTCTTTGCAAAAATTGAAGGATAACGCTGCATATAATCGACCGGAGCCTTGTATACCAGGAGTTGCTCTGCATGTAGATGTAGATGAGTGCTGGCTAATGTAATTGTAACTGAGTCTTCAACTATTCAGTCACTTTAAATGACATTTTATTCCTTTGTGATGTTTGGTCAATATGCAATTCTATTGTCCCAGATAACTGTATTGCAAAATGTGTCATAAAAACGAATTAGAGAGTCAATTATTGAGATTTCTGATTCATGTTAAACTAATTAAACCGTTTAAGTCAATTGGTTGAACTAAATGACATTATAAAGGTAAATTACGTGCAATAATATAAAACATATATAATTGGCTAAAATATCTTGTGTTTGGGAAGGGTGCTTGATGCCTTGCACCAAATTAATTAATCTGAGCCTCTCATGACTCTTTCTAATTCATAATAATTATGATTGTTGTTAAGACTCTCAATGGGTTGGAGTTGAACACAGGTACATAGAAAACTATAAAAATGTAAGAATTCAGAGGAAGGAACAAAGGGAAGCTTTTAACAAAATTGTTCCTTTAATACTTCTAGAACGAAAAGGAAGTTATATAAACAGGAGAAGTGGCATTTGGTGTATACTATTGACTATTTAGTGTATTTCATTTCGCTTCTTCTTCTTTTTTTGCCGTACAATGAGCCTTAGTTTGCACATTGAGAAAATTAGATTTTTGGCTCATCCCTTTGATAAGTTTAAATCAATGAGTTTGTCTAATGAGAGTACTGATGACAAGTTGGAAATAGTCAAATAATGCAGTTTTCTTTATACGCAAAACACCTTTCTGTAATCAGTCATACACATTGAGAGGGTGTAACCCTTTCATTTGCATGGAAGTCTAAAAACTACATATAAACTATCTTGCATTTAACAATGACATGGAAATTTCATTGGCTGAATGCAGTTTAGTACTTCCTGATGAAGAGCCAAATTGGTGTGGATAAAAGGCAGGTTCCCTTGGCCTTGGCAATGGTTTCTCACCATTCAGCATTAGAACTACAGCTGACATGTCTGGCCTATCCTCTGGTCTATCTTGTACACATAAAAGTCCAATGATAATGCATCTCAATATTTCAGCTTCAGCAAAACCAATTGAATCACCTAGTGATTCATCTATCAGCTTCAATGACTTCTCTTCACTCCACAGTCTCCATGCCTAGAGGAAATGAAAATTAAAATTGAGTTATGAGTTCACTTTGGAATATGCCAACATAAATGGTATTTTAAGTGGAATATTTCTTTAGACTTACATGTCCAAGAAGGTCAAGATCATGATGGTCAAAATATTCCCTATTTTTAGTTCCACTAATTATCTCTAGTACAATAACACCAAAACTGAAGACATCAGATTTCACAGAGAAAAATCCATGGGCTGCATACTCTGGAGAAATATAGCCACTGCAATACAGAAGAAAAAATGGAGCTCAGAAAAATTGAAATTTTATGCATCATAAAGAGGGCGAACTTGGAGTAATGGTAAAATTGTTTTTCTGTGACTGGAAGGTTAAGGGTTTGAATCTGAAAAACAACCTCTTTAAAATTATGTAAAGGTAAGGCTATATATAAGAATTGCTCTCATCCCATCTTTGCTAGTAAGAGTTTAACGTGGAGTGGTTTTTATAAAGTAACTGTAAAGAACCAATTCAACCCAAAAGCTTAAGCTGTTGGGTGAGGCTACATTAATGGTTTTATATATCTCAACACGCCTCCTCACACGAGAGCCCACTGGGTTTGAAGGGTGGACAATGCACAGGCCCACCTACCTGTGCGAACAAAGAAATTCCACTTGAAAGAAAGTGGGGGGCGGCGAGGATCGAACCCGGTACACCGAGGCTCTGATACCATGTAAAGAACCAATTCAACCCAAAAGCTTAAGCTGTTGGGTGAGGCTACATTAATGGTTTTATATATCTCAACAGTAACAAAATCAAGTTATTTAAGCATGCTTACTAAGTTCCTGCTATTCTCTTTGTTATGCCTTCATCTTCATCTCCCCCAAATGCTCTAGCAAGACCAAAGTCTGATATTTTTGGATTCATATTTTCATCAAGAAGAATATTGCTAGTTTTGAGATCTCTGTGGATAATCCTTAATCTAGAATCTTCATGAAGATAGAGAAGCCCTCTTGCAATCCCACAAATAATTTGGAAACGCTGAGCCCAATGCAGTGAACTTTTTCTAGCTTGATCTGACAAAATTTTGAGTTTAGTTAGCATGATGATGTCTTGGTGATATTGGTAAGAGAAAATCAAGTATAGAGACAGGATAAAATCTCAAACCAAAAATGAAGCAGTCCAAGCTTCTGTTGGTCAAGAATTCATATATTAAGAGTCTCTCAGCATCATGAATGCAGCACCCAAGAAGTTTCACAAGATTTCGATGCTGAAGATTGGCAATTAGCACTACTTCATTTATGAACTCTTTTGGTCCTTGTCCTGAATTTTTGCAAAGCCTCTTCACTGCTATATCTTGCCCATTTGTCAATGTACCCTGACAATCATTATTTGCAAAGTTAAGCGGAGAAGTTTAGTCCAATGGCAGGATATAAAATAAATAAATAATAATCATATTACCTTGTAAACTGGTCCAAATCCACCTTCTCCCAATTTTTTAGTAATGGAGAAGTTACTAGTTGCGTTAGCTATGGTTGATAAATCAAATATTGGTATGTCAATGTCTTCCTTCTCTTTGTTATCAGCGTGATTCTTCCAGCTAGTTATTTGGTTCTTCCCTGAAAAGGTAGAACAATGATTGTGTATAAATGACAAAACATTATAAGTTCTACCATAAAAGGAAAAGCTAATGCTTACCATACCTTAAAATTTTATCATAAAAGAATATGTGCAATTGTTGGATAATTATTATTTGTACTATAGTATATTAACAAAATAAATCAATTCAAATAACTAAATAATTACCTTGCTTCTTGAGTTTCTTCCTCCAAAGTATGGCCACTCCCAGTATTATCATGACAAAGACGAACATACAGGTTACCAAAATTCCTGCAAGCTTCTTCTTGTTCAAGCCCTTTTTATGGTCTGAGAGATTAAAAGCACTATTAGTAGACAAAAAAATTTGAGCTGTTCAAAAAATCACAAAGGATAAGGCATCTAAAGCACATTTTCACAATGAAAGTTGATAGCAATTAGATGCTTCCAAGCAAATATTTTTTTTATGACAACTAGTACAGGACAATGTCCTCTAATATTCATCCTATTCTTTCATGTTCTTTTTTCTACCTGCAATAAGGATAAAATTTATAACATACATACCAAAAATTGTCTTCAACAAACATTATGTGCAGCTTAGTAGCCAAGAATTTATGTATTTTACTACTGTGTTTAAATGGAAAGACAAGAAACAGAAAGGTAGATGGAAATAAAAGATTAGTACCTAGTTCTGAAGATGCCACTCTTACATAAAAATCTTGTCCTCCAGAGGGTAGTTTTCTCACATCCACAATTTTATTAAACCAAAGCAAGCAGCCACTTCCACCATCTCTGATATCTAAATTTGCACATGCTGTGCAAGAGCAGTTTTTCAAACAAAAGTTCTTACATTCCTCAAGGGTCATGCTCTTATTAAACCATGAGGTTGATGTGTCAGGCAATTTCATTCCCGGATACATCAGAAAGCCATCATCACTGTTGCCACAAGTTAAATTAACTCTCCTAACACACCCATCAGACCACTTTTGTGAATTCCAATTATCTTGAGATTTGGGAATGAAACCCTGAAGGCATTCGCATATTGGAGAGTTATTAACATCACAATTAGAATTTGCACCACAAATGGCATAATTATCACACTGGTCTACAGGGCCAGAAAAGAAAATCTGCCAACTATTTGTCTGATCTGAAAATTTGAAACGTTCAACTTGACCTGTTGAAGTGAGTATGTATCTTGTAATAATTGACTGGTTAAAGAGTTCAAAACCATAAGAAACTTCCTGATCAGTTATCACAAAAGAGAAATTGAAGTTTTTGTACAGTGTTTCAGAAGAAATTCCAGATAAAGTATTGCCATTCCATGAACCTGTTCTATACAATAATGTCTCTCCCTTTGTAATCACTACTTGAGGATAACCATGAGTATCTATATGGTATGAATACAAACCAGTACCAGGATTTTGTGTGTCTCTCCATGATATCAGAGATGTATAATTACCACTTACTATGTTGCTTGTAATTTTCATCCCTGGGAGCAAAGTGTCCCCAGGATGATCAAAACTCTGCCACAGAAGATTCTCTGGGTTGCTTTCTTCTTTCACAACAAGGTTTCCAGTTTCCAAGAGTTGCACAATTGGATTCTTTGCAGTTGTTGATGTATTGGTGAACCAGATTGAAGAACCTGTGCTATTAAGAATAACAAGATTTCCTCCATCAGTGACATTCAAAACACCTGAGGAGCTTCCAAGTGGGGTATCTCTATTTGCTATCCATACAACTGTTCTTGGAGAAAGACCCTTGTACCATATACCAAAATATTGGCTATTTTGATCTCCAAAGTTGAAGAATCCAGCTTCAAAAATCCCAGATGCTGAAACTAGAGTCTCATTATCTTTGACAGATTGTCCTGGAGCAATGGTGTCCAGCGTGTTGAAACTTGGTATGAAGGAGAACAAAAGAGAGCACAAAACTAGCACCTTGAAGCTTTCCATTCATTGTCTCTTGGTTCAGCGTTTGGTCTAAATTTCACACAAAGTGCTTCATAAAATTTGGCTGTTTTCTTAACTATAAAACTACACTGCCAAAACAGGCTCGGCTCGGCGGGCTGATTTTTTCAACCCATCTCAAAAGCGGGACGGACTCATTTTTTGGCGAGTTGATGGCGAGCATAAGCGGATTAGTGTAAAATAGGCTCGGGCTGGCGGACCAACCGGCTCAACCCGCCAAACGGGGCGGGGCGGACTGAGTTTTTCAGTCCACTTTCAAAAGCGAGACGGAGCAGACTGACTCTTTTTTTGGCGGGGCGGACTTTGCCACCTCGGTATAAAACAACCCAAAACTTTAAAAGTTAGCAATAGAATTGGATTCCTCTTAACATTTTATGTCCGTGCCTTAATTAGAGAATGAAAGGAGATGTATCTTGATTAGAATGAAACAGCATTAAATGAAGCCAAATAGCTTTTTTCATATTGGTCAATATTATACAACTTTAATTACTATCAACCATCTAGCAGAAAGTCATACCTTATAACTTCCTTTCTTCGGTGGCGATTCTATGGATGGGAACAAACCTTGGTTAAAAGTTCAAAGATATATCATGTATCCTGATTTATTTTCAACGTTTTTATATTATTTTAATGTTTCAAAGGTCATGCAATGTTGAAATATATACTTTGAATATTATTTATAACCTACTTGTTTTGAATCAGCCGGCCTAGCTTGTACACACTTAGTTCTAAGACTTGAGATGTATGCTGGACCCATGTTCAAATGTTCATAACTACTTGTAAATAAATTTGGTATAAACAGGCAACATTTATTTTTTTTTAACAAAAAACGATGGTGTTGTAATTAATAATTAAATCAGTTTTGAAGCTTGTTGGATTTAACAATTTCATAGTCTAAATATAAAACTTGTAAGTTCAAAACTAACGTTTTTTTTTTCTCAGGACAAGAAATAATGATAAGCAGGTAGTGTCTAAAGGATTGTTGTTATTTTATAATAGTTTCTTAAGAAAAAATTGTTTAACAGGTCAACAAGTTAACCCCCGCTATTTTATATGTAATCCATTTCTTTATACATAATGATCAAGTATTGGTTGTTATATATCAAGAAAATTGATCAGTTATATATAATCAATGAGTCAAACCAAATTAAATGTCATTATCATTACTGATGAGGCTCACTGATTTGCATCTAATATCGATTCTAGATATCATTCTTTTATTGTATTTATAAACTTGTTACTCTGAGATAAATTATTTGCGGCAAAAAAATATTTATTATTTTAAAGGACATAATTTTATGTCATTTAAATGAAATAATTATGTTTTGATATATATTTGTTCGTATTTTATATTTTCTCTTTCATTTTTAATACTTAAATGAGATGATTATGTCATATATTCAATCGATCACGAAATCATCTATCTTAATCTTTTATTAAAGTGTTTTTACCTACAAATGCTTAAACCACCCCCAAAAATAAATAAATACAATAACTTGAAAGCCTTTGTTTCTGTTTATCAAAATCATTCATGATATAGAGGAGTGACTAAAAGAGTATTATTGTGAGAAATGATACAAACATATGTTTCATAATTACCAATTTCTCAAAGTTCTACAGTGAACAAATTTAGAACATTAAAAAAACCAATATAATAAAACTAGGGTATTATATAATGGCTTGTATGAATGTCATTATCGTTATTTTTTTACACTTTCTTTTATGTCATTTTTATACTTCCTTATAGTTTTAAGTTGTTTGTTAACCTTCTAGATGTTCTTCTGTTTGCGTCGGGTCGAGTTTGTCATGGTACTCCTTCTAGACGTACTCGTTCTTATTCTGGATGAAACAAATGCTTTCATACGAAAATTAAATATTTAATATGATGTTTTTTCTACTTATGAATTTCTTTTTTAACATTCTTTGACTTTAAGATTTTTTTTAGTGCGAAGTTATCCTTCCCAATTAATAACTTCTTACCTGCATGTTGGTACTCTAACATCTTAAATCGAAGATTTCACATAGTATTTAAAAATTTCATTTGATTTATTTTGTACTGTTCCCTCAATGAAAAAATGGTTCAGATTCTAAAGAATTAAACATGTAGGACTTAAGGAATGATGAAAAAATAATAATAAGCAATAAATAAAAATACAGTAGAAGAGTCCAAACGAACAAATGCAAACTTAATTGAAAAGAATTTTCTTCATTCTCGAAGAGGGGGGGGGGGGGGGGGGTGTTGGCAAAACTATTAAATTTAGACTTTTTTATTGCTTAATATATTTAAGATGATTTTAAAGATACTTTTAAGAATATTTTAAAAACTTTTCAGGGAGACTTGCAACATGAAAAGCATTGCTAACATTTTAATTCAGTTTATTCAAAACCAATAATAGAGTATTATTAATTTTATGAAATCATGAGTCATGACAGAGTTGAAAGGAAGGAGAGAAATATTTTAGTTTATATTTTATATGGTCTATAAAGGAGTCGGTCATATTAGGTTGTTTACATCTATTTTCAAGGCACGTATGCATTTGTCATTAATCGTCAATAATTTATGTCACATCGTTATCTCATATTCGGTGAAAGTCAATTTCGAGTATAGTAGGCCAGTATTTTTATTTTATTTTTTTTGGTACATATAGTAGGCCAGTATTAATTAAGTCTTTTGTAACATCCTCGTCTCGAGCCGGTTCAATTAACATACACATGATATAAACAGAAACAGCGGAAGACTTAACTTACGAAAATATGAGCTAACTTTTTCTTTTTCTAACTTAATTCTTACTCGGCGTAAACGAAAATCGGGCAGAGTTTCCTCTATAAATCGGACAACTGGGGATTTTCCAATCCCACTCAGAAGCATTTCCTGATAAACAGTTTATACAACATATCAATTCAGAAATACCAGATATCCAAATATAATCAAATACCCATACATGGGCGCATGCATAACATGGCTCCGTGCCACTCAATCTAACAGCATGCCATCAAAACATAAACCTATCTGAATACTACATCATCATATAACGTTCCTGAATACTCAAATGTACATGCATCAAACTGACAGACATGTACAAAACATATACAGGCCATATACAAAATAAAGGATCAATATCATGATCCATCAAATGCGAAAATACTAAAATACATCAAACACTCCAAAAAGGTAGTAGCCTACAGCCACTCAAAATCCGGTCTGTCAACTGCCTCCGCCACGTGTCGTGTCCCTGCCTAGTGAGGACTCACCGGAAATCTGGGCACCTGAAAATGTGTCCCCAAAGAGGGGTGAGATTACAAATCTTAATAAGCTCCAGGTTTATAGAGAATTCTCCATACCCCTGGCTCACTCCTGCATGAAAGCCAGATACAAAGTATACGAATACAACATATAACAGATATCATAACAGAACAGAGCATATATCCATATCATATCAGAGATGTGCGCCGTCATTCCCAAGGGAGGACCCCAAGCGGAAATCAACGCACGTGTTCCCGAGGGAGGACCCCAAAGCGGAACCAGACATATCAGAGGAGTACACCATCAGTCCCGAGGGAGGACCCCAAAGCGGACGTCCGGGTACTATACAATCAATGGCCAGAGATTGTTACAGAAATCAAATTACAGAAGTCATATCAGAGCAAAACATATCATGTTATCAAATAACTCTATATGAATGTATCTATACAAAGCATCTAAATCACAGCCATACAGTCCAACCATAGTTCACTAACCATGGTGGAGCACTCAAGCAGGAAAAGACTCCTTAAGCATAGAGCTTACCTCTTGAAGCTTTACCAATACGCTTACTTGTGGAACAAGTTACTTTTATCACTTCAAGAGATTTCCAATCCTTCTCAATCCCTAGGCACACCTAGAGAATAATTTACAATGCATCAATAAAATGATGCAATACCATAATTATTTCATAAGCATACATTTTATCGCTTATTTTCCTTTCTTTGCATTTTTGCCAATCCTATGCCAATACACAAGTCTAGACCCCTTTATAACCGTTGGTGTTCTTTAATTTAATCAACCATTCCCTTAGGAATTTTCAACATAAATCATGCTACTTTTCTTCAAAACTCATCACTTTTATACAATTTATTACAACACATTTTATTTAAAATAAAATGTACAAAATATATCCCTGAATACCCTATAGGTCGAATCCTATAAGGGGAATTTCCAAAGATCCTTCTCTTTTACAATACATTTTCGTTACTTCATTACAACTTGCAAACACCTAGGAATGCTTCCACTAAATTCCTATTTTGAGTTTAGACACCAAGTCCTTTTTACTTAGGCATTCTTACTAACTCATCCATTTTCACTCATTTCCAACACACTAAACCTTCACAATACATAATATAATTTTTTCCACAATAACTCCTACTCACTCCATGATGGCCGAAACCTAGGAGGAAGATGCAATAGGGCTTTTAAATTTTTATATCTCATGTGGATGCTTACTCAACACTATAACTTCCTAAACAACAATAATCTATCATAAATTTCACATTCTAACATCAATTATTCCCCACTCACAACATGCTCATATATTTCATAACTTAAATCATCAAAATAATATCATGGAAATAGAGGTTTCTTACCTCTAAACACTTGTACAAAGCCTAGAGAGCAATCTCCAAGCCAAGCTCCATCAAAAACTCACTTTTTCTCCTCCAATGAATAGTAACTCGAAAATGAGAGGAGGAATAACTCTTCACACACTCAACAAAACCTCAAATTGATGGTTGGAATGGGTTCATTGGGTGTTTTACAAGCAATTTCATGTGGTGGGTCTTTGAATTTGGAGTAGAAATGATGGAGAATCAAGGAGAAGAAATTCAAAACCCTACCCGCCTTCTCCAATGGTGCAGCTCGGTTTTGAGAGGGTGAGAGGAGAGAGAAACTGATTTGGGATAATGAGACTAAGTCACTTATAAGGCTAGCACATGTGGCCTTTTTTAACAGATGTTTTTCTATCGCTTATTTTAACTTAAA